ACTCCCCAAAATTAATTTCGGTTTCAAATTCAAGGGGCCACATCAGCCAGATTGATTGAGAAAAATCAGTTTTGGCTAACGAAAATCGGCTATACGAAAACCCGCCAACGATGTCCACAGACACGGAGACGGACGGATGGTAGGACGTTTTGTCGTTAATTGATTTTGTGGTGAACCGACAAAACGGATTCTGGCTAAACCACGTGTTAGAGGATTTTTTCCTCTAAATTTAGCTACTGGATTTATCCCCATTTCGTTACCAGGGCCCTCTAATAATAATAGTTTTCCTCCTGAATATTCGCCTTTTTTTCGTGCAGCATTATATAACTTTCTCCACTGTGTTAGCGGTAGCGAGAAAGTAATAATGGTTGCAGTTCTGCCGAGGCTTCGGCACCTCGTGCTAATATCTCACACTGTAGCAGCAATGAGGCAATTACAAAAGAAAAAGTATTTACAGATGACATTCTATGAATGACAAAATTCCAATGCAATCACTGACCACGAAGTGGGGATATTCTAAAGCATAAAATCTTAATGCTATCAACATGGGCGTCATAAAAGAAATATTTTGACAAAACTTTTGTTAGAAAATAATGTGTACACTACATTCTACATGAAAAAATATGTTCACTACATATTCTCAAGAAAGAAAATTCTGATTTTTCAAGTCTGTCCGTTTGCTTTGCTCTGCATCTTAAGTAAAAACACGGTGTATTTACGAGGCGTATGCGAAGACATTGTACTGCGGCAGAATGAACCGAAAGCGAAGAGACCGAATCTTTGTAGGCGTGACTCACCATTTGCTTCGGGCACACAGCGCGATCCGCTAGAAGTTGACCAATTGCCAGAGGGAGAGAAGCCAATTCCGATGACGCAGGTGCAGGTGCGTCTTTTCTCTCCATGCCCAAAACGTTTGTGAGAAAATCGTGAGTTTCCTCTGAATATTCCAAGCGATTGAACTGTTACGAGTCTTCAGTTAAGTACGTTGCATATTTCTGGTGCAGTCCTCCGTGAATAATGAGTTCGGAGTAGAGGGAACTCCAGATATTCCCAGGAGGTGTGGAAATGGTAAGAGTATAAAGGAAGAATGACAGTCCACGTAATTAGTGAAAAAAAAAAATAGGAATAACGAAGACCCAAAAGTATACAATTTTTTACGAGAAAGAATATATTATGGACAAATGGTTGCGAGTAAACTCTTCACTCTCCAAACGAAGGGCTGCTATAAATAGGAATTTAAGAAGTAAGGAAGTCACATGGGAATGGTTCGTTGCAACGCGGGGCCAGGAACGTGCCAATTTCAGGGACCGTTTTTCGCTCGTAAGGCAAGAGCGATTTTAAGGCTTCAATGGAATCGTTCAAAAAGAGACATCAAGTAGGTATCTTGCAAGAAGTGGCGACTCCTAGCTAGTGGACATAGGAATGCGATCATATTACAGGTTGAAAGCTCTATTCCAAATATTTAAAGTCTCCGTCATTCTACGTTATTTTAAAGTATTTTAGAAGTTTATTTTGCAAAATAAGATACCTTAGATTTATTTAGAAAAAAAACAACTGTATGTGACGTATGGGGGAGAGGATTATGTGATCTTCTGAATCTTCCTTGAAAAACACCAATTTCTTATTGCATGCGCTTACATGAAGAAAACAAAAACAAAAAATAAAACCATAAACAATATACGTGCCTTTTTTTTTTTTTTTTGATTCAAAATCTACTTCGCCGCTGTTCCTGAATCAATACAGCGGTTTCGTCCTTCTGAAATGAGATGCTCGCACGACGATTGGCCAACAGTGCATATTTGTTATTCAATCTCACACCCCGCAAATCCAATGATCCACTTTCTATACTTACCACTATAATGAATACAACAATTCTCTTAGTTTTTGAGGGATATTTAATGAGTTGGTTCTTTACTAAATTTCCCGCAGTTTTTGCGAATTAGAAGAAATAATAAAAAGGATTTGAAGATTCCTGGCCTATTGAAACATGAGTCGTTTCTTACTGTTCCCTACCACAAGAACATCCACCGCCACAAACGACTGGTGAGCTCGGCATGTCGAAGTTCTTGTCACTAACACACGAAAACGTTTTATTCTTTCGCGTTACCAATTTCCAATTCGCGACTTCTCATTTGACACGAAAAAAAAATGGGTCACTACTTACACAAATTAGCCACTTAAAGCACAAGTGATCTTTGAATCCTTCCTTGAAACACCAATTTCTTAATTCAGCATTGCGCGTTACATGGAGAAAAACAAAAAACAAAAAATAAACCATAACAAATACGTGCCTTTTTTTTTTTGAATTTCAAAATCTTTCGCCGCTGTTTCCTGACAATACAGCGGTTCGTCCTCTTGAATGAGAGCATCGACCGACGATTGGCCACCAGATGCATTTTGATTTTCAATCTCACACCCGCAAATACCAATGTCACTATTCATATATCTACCACTGTAGATAACACAATTCTTCTTAGTTTTAGGGGATATTTAATGGTTGTTCATTACTACATTACCGCAGTTGTTCGAAATAGAAGGAAATAACTAAAAGGGAATTCTGAAGATTTCCTGCTATGAAACAATGAGTTCGTTTCTCTACTCGTTCCCTACCACAAGTAAACTCATCCACCGCCACAAATCGAAACTGGCGTGAGCTCGGCATGTCGCGTCTTCTTCAACACAACACACAAACGTTTATTCTTTCGCGTTACCAATTTCCAATTCGCGATTCTCTTTGACGGGTCACTACTTACACAAATTAGTCCACTTAACGCACAGTAAGTACGAAACTGAATTAATCCTACGCGACACGTGACCAACGAAAAAACATCACACGCACTGTTTCGACTTCACAGTCAACAGATTGTCCATATCCTACTATTTCCTTACATGAAAGGAGTGACCTTGTTTTGTCAAGCCTGCTAACCCACATTGAGTTACCCAGCTGTATCGAATCAGATTAAAATGTGCTCAGGCATAGTGGGCAAACTTACATGAGTTGTGGAGAAAGACTGTAGTGTCTTCTGTCCCCCGCTTTAGGGTCTATCACAGAGGCAGGTGACTTCTGGGATTACCACGCTTTTGCCAAATTATGACTACATCGGAAGGGAAATCCAAGGGGGAAAAGAAGCCTGTGATGTTAGAGGCAATGGCACATCTCCGGCAGTCGAAACCACACAAACATGAACACAGCGCATGGCCGTGAGTTCAATGACCTCGCCAACGAAGGGAGGTCGTTCAAGGGATGTTTCTCGGCCGTCACATCCAGCAAAGGGGTCTAGCGCCTTTTGTACAGCGCACGTAAATGGCGAGAGGGAATAGGGAAAAAAAGAGAAATACTTACGGAAGAAAGTAAAATATTTGACAGAAAAGATTTATAAGTGATGGAAACTAGGGGATATAACACATCACTCGCATACATTGAGCCTACGCCATTGCTAAAAAGTAAAATACCTGACAGAAAAGATTGATAAGTGATGGAAAACTAGGGGATGTAACACATCACTCACATACATTGAGCCTACGCCATTGCTTAATTCCGGAGATCACATCCGGGTACGAGACGGACAACTGTAGCTGCGGCGAAACGCTCCGACTGTATTTCGAAATGCGTGTCTCAGAATAATTAAATAAAGATCGCCTCACTGTATTACTTTACTGCAAAGCAAAAGGGCAATTTCAATGACCTTTGGTCATTGGAAAGGCATAGGAACTACATTGCTCCAAAAATTTGAATACGTGACCTTCCTGTTCATTGGGAAGCGAACAACAAAGCTTGGATTGCAACGGCCAAGCGCGGATCCACGGGGAGGAATTTTCCCGCCTAAATTGTTTTAGTAACTATTAATTTTAACCTGTCATCAAACTTTCAAACAAAAATAATTTCGGATAATCATTAAAACGATTAAAATCATTCCACAGCATGAGCTGAGTGTAGCATGCGACGTTGTACAAAATCCGTATTATGACACAATCGACCAAAACATTTTCAATTTCCCCTCCCAAAATTTGCCTCTAAATCCTCTCATACAATAGCTCCAATGGAAGAATGGCGATGGGGATTTGATGCACAAATAGTAAACCAAAACAGAAAAGTTTTGTTATTTCTCAACAAGGCAATATCATCCGCGTGCTTTCTTACAAAATGTCACGTGGTGTTGGTTTTCTAGGAATACCACCTCTTTGACTCACTCCTCAACCAAGGCATCATTTATGCCTTTAAATTACAGTACAGATACTTGCTTATTAAATCTTTACTTGCCCACATAGATGAATGTGATTCCATAACAATTGACAAAATCTTATTACTGTTTTAGATGTGCATTAGTTATCAAAATAATGCAAGGAATTGCACCCATCGATGGCCATAAATTGTTTCCCTAAAACAGGATTCTGCCTGCAGGATGGAAGCAGTAAAATAGAGATGTCGCTAAGAACATTTTTCAAGACATGTCAAACGAAGCGAATCTGAAGGAATTAAACCACAGAAGAATTAGTCAATTGTGATAAGCAAGTGCCAACAAAGGTGAAATGAGCAACAAAATTCTAAACCTAACGTCCGGTCACAGTTCAGGAAAGGAGGAAGAAAAAGCAACGATATCAGAAAATACTATCAATAAATATTGTGATGCACTTATGCAAGTAAAAAAACATTAAAGGCATATTTTCTCCTTACTAAATAACAATATATTAAATACACTGAATGCAGTTTGTTGAAAAATAAGCATTAATAAAAAGAAGACAAAACAAACATCTTTGTTCGATTATTTTCATTAAGGTTCTTTTAGAAAGATGTACATAAACTATTTAAAAAATACGTATGTTGTGTGTATTACAACAATGATTTAATTAAAACAATTATTTTATGAGTATATTTTATTTGCCTTAGTAAATTTTTGAAACCTGGCAATAACAGAAAAATGTCATTTACAAAAATTTTGCTAATTCTCTAGCTCTTCCGTTATGAGCAGGTTTCACTGTACTAGCAAATTATTTTTTCATTTTATCATTAGCATACTTTATTTTGTAGTTGGGTTTTTGTTTTTGTTCATCAGCATTAAATTGTGATTACATTCTAAATTTCATTAATATTTTGATTTAAAAAAATTATTTTATCTGGGTAGTTTTTGTTTTTAGGGGGGGCTTGGTGAAAATTTAGCCCACCCTGAGCACTACAATTAACAAGTTGAAGACGCTCATTTCATTAATGAAACAAATTACAAACTTCAATGACACGACATCCAAGCAATATTTTAATTTATGGTCTTTAATAAAACTGAACATATGAATGTTTAAAACCATTTTATTTACAAGGCTCACTTAGTAAACAATTATGGACAAATCAGTTAAAAATCACAGCCAAGCTGAATGTACGCATCCGTACCACCTTTTCTATAAATGTATGTACAATTAAAGTCATAATTAATCACATTGAACACCATTGTTAAAACCAATGGAAGCAATTAATCAACAATATTATTCTAAGATTTCAACATCTGACATCTGTTTTAAAAATCTGATAACCGAAAGAAAAACAAACAGAAACTCAGCATTCAGCAAATTATAAAATGTCTTTCCAATAACATTGAAATTTTTTTGAAGAACATTTTCTGCATATGTTTATTCATTTCTAAGGATATTACACAAAAAGTTTTCAGATTGTATCACAAATAACATTCAATTATATATAAACCATTTGCAACATTCCTACTATTGTGGGTTTCTTGAGAACAAACATTCTAAAAAAAAGTTGCTAAATAATGATTATCATACATTTTCAGGCCTTTTTTGTCAGATCATACAGGGAATCTGCTAAATCTGAGATCTCCTGAGATGACTCGCAATGCTTCTTAAGATTTTCAGGGATGAAACTGTCTCCATAGAAAGCTCCTGCAATGGCCCCTGCCATGGAGGCTATGGTGTCTGTGTCACCTCCCAATGATATTGCATACTGCAGAGTGCGCCGAAAAGGATTATCAGTCTGAAATTATCACATATATGCAAGAAAATTATTAGGCTGTATTTCTCACACACTTCATCTACTTTAATACCATATTGTGAGTTCATTATTAACACTTCAATAGAAATAGGATTAGCTAAATTCTTTTAAAAAACTGGAATATCTAATTAGAATGCTGATCTTGAGTACAAAAATAATTCCCCTTATTTCAGTGTCTTACCAAAACCAGAAACCACACATTTCTAAGAGATTTTTTTGTGGCGTAGTGTAGTGAAGCAACAAAATTACACAATAAATAATAATAGTAGTAATAACAATAATAATAATAATATCTTTCTGGACTTGGCAAAAGGCTTTGACGTAGTCCATCACAAGATATTGTTATAAAAGCTTTACAAACTTGGTTTTAGAGGAAAAGTCTAGAATCAATTAAAAAGTTAACTCTTTGATAAAAATGATTAAAATAAATTATGAGATTAGTCATGAACTTTATGTAACTTGTGGTGTTCCACAAGGAACAATATTGGGTCTTTCACAAATTTTATTGTATATTTATGATATATTTAATATTTTGTTATCTGGTGAGCTGATATCACTTGTGGATGATACAGCATTAATAGTAAAAGGCAGAAGATCGTGTGATGTTTTGAAACATTAAGTTGATAGCTCAATGGCGTAGTCACAATTGTCTAAGTTTAAACATACTGTAGACTGTATTTGCTACCCAAGATATCTATGAGAAAAGGGCACCTGAAAATTGTAATATTAGATGACATCATAATATATGTTGTAATGATAATTGTAATTCTTCTAGTATCACTAAAGTCGAGGTTGCTATATATATATATATATATATATATATATATATATATATATATATATGTAGTGTCCGAGAAACTGATTATGGTATGCTATATGTTATTCTGGTCTTAGTGACCTATGACATAATTGCATAGGGTGGAGCCTAAGATAGTACTACAAGACCACACTTAAATTTTTAGAAAAGAGTTATTAAAATTATCTCTAAGAGAAACTTATTTGATTCATCAGACATTATAGTCAAGGGAAAAAATATAATTAGTTTAAAAAAAATATAATTAGACAAAAGCTTTACTCCACAATTTTAAATACGTAAAGGAGTATAGCAAGCTATTCTCAACAAAGAGGAACAGAAACAGCATTCCATATATAATGAATAAACAAATTAGGTCAAGAAGTCATTACTACATTAGCCATCAAATATTTAATCAATTAATCATATACTGAACTGAAGAGCTGAGATATGACCAATGGATACACATTGTATGCTTGTAGACGAAAAATTACCTCTATTTCTGGTATATTTGTTCTTGCTCGCAAGAAGCAGAATATAGCAGTTGGTACTGAATAAAGAGCAGCAACACTAGTGCCCAACTTCATTTGCACTTCTTCATCTGAAGCTGCGTCACCTTTCTCCAGCAGATCCTTGACGACCCGCAGCTGAGCTTGATAAGGGGTGGGGTCATCCAGACCCAGCCTGTGTGACCAGTGCTGCCCTTCAGCTCTCAGTGCATGACATGATCGCAACGAATTGAGGCAATCAGTTCCATTAGCGCCTAAAGCACAAAATTGTGAATGCAACATTAACACTGTCGTCTTATTTTTGCTTTTAATCAAAAATATTTTGTAGTTGGTTCATCAATGTTGACTTTAACCCTTCCCAGAATGCAATTAACTTGAATATACAACACAAATTGATTTCTGTGTACTTCCAATTTTCAGAAATCGAAAAATGTGTGTCTGTACATGATCTGCAAGGTCCATAACCTTTCAGTTCAAAAGAAAATTGTAATTTAAACAGTATGTGCAGAAAATATTCACACTTTCTATTTTTTCAACATTAATGTTTCACACTTTATTCTGACAGCACTCCCAATGACTTTTTAAGATATTGAAATAATTTAGACTTAAAGAGAATAACCACATAGCACATTCTATTTGTAATTAAGTTAATATAAATTTTCCATATTGTTAAATGCTTTTACTGTGTGTTCATTACAATGAACTCAGAGAAATTATCTGGTTCCTACTACAAGCACTAACACTTCTTAATTTTACAACATTAATTGCAATTCATGGCTTTTTAACTGCCACTAGAATAATTAAATTGTTTTGGAAAAGAAAAATATTTTATACTTAACTTAATGAGGTTTGTGATGGTGTAAAGGTAACATGTACCCACAACTAAATAGCAATGAAATTGAATATCTTTGTAAGATACCAAACTGACCAACTCCCTTAACATCACATGTAGTGATCTTAAGTAACACTTCATATATCACTATATAAAATAATTTTAAAAAACATGGCAATTTTTTGTGGATGAAACTGAATGGTAGCTTATATGTAACTTTATGCCTCAATTCTGTTACAATAGTACTAAAATCATTCACAAGAGAGAAATGCAAACACAGGGAACTCTTAATAACTGAAACAACAGTTCTACCCAAATTATTGTAATAAGAAATTAATTATAGCTATTAATTTGTATTTTATGACACAATAAAAGATTTAAAACATGAATAATCTTACTAGTGGGCTTACAATGGTTTAGCCCCGAGCATCGTTCAAATACAGGCAGACGAACAAACATTTTTCTGTACAAAAATTTTTAGGCATCAAAGACACAAAACTATTAGGACTACACATGTTAGAGAAACTTATTTACAACATACAGAAACAAGAATTATCCATGTTATAAATAATTCCACAGACATGTTTTTTCATTAAATACAATTATTTTAAAGCAATTTATGTTTCTTTTTCTTTCCATTGCATCAAGGTCTGTAAGTTTCCCTGTAATTACATTCCTCAAAGATAACACTCTCTAATATTATTCATAGCTTTCTCTCAACTGTACATAAACACACCCTTCCTCATCCTTTTCCACAGAAGCCATGACATTGAAAAGCTTATCTGAAAATTCTTGAGGATTCAATTTGCCTTCAGGATTACTTTGCAAGCTCTGGCAAATAGCAACTGCCTGAAACAAATAATTTTTGACATGTTTAGAAAAATAAAAAAGGGTACACTAAAAATTTTTTAAAGTGATGTCGTGTCAAGTGTGTTCTGTCAAATTCTGTTGTAAACATTAATATAGGTAAGTGAAATTGCTATTTTTCATCAATCTGAATTGCCATTACACCTTTATGTTGATCTCACCTGAAGGACAGCACCATCAACTCCTTTCTTATTTGTATGAGTGACCTTTGTAGATACCTTAGCATTTTCTATTACATCAGATAAACTTTTGTAATAAAAAAGGGCAATAGGTGCTATGCGCATTGCACCTCCATTTCCATATGATCCACTCCCGTTAAACTGAGCTCTGGCAGGACCAAAAGGATCCTCAAATTTCTCAGCTCTTAATTTGTGAAACACATCAATTACATTTTGACCATATCCTCGCCGGGGTTCGTTAAAATACTCTACAGTGAAACTGAAAGGAAAAAAAAATAATATTTGATTATAAATAAAATCCTCCACAAAAACCCCTAATCAATGATGGAAGATAATGTAAGTTGTAATAACTCACCGTTTTGCTAAATCACGAGGTTCAACCCCACGATTACTCAATATATTGTTTAAAAGACATTTTGTCATTGCAGTATCATCTGTATACATTTTAACTGGTGCTAAAATTCAAATGCAGATGTTAGATGAACTCAGTTTACTTTAACAATACAAATTAATCCTTTTTATTAAAACCAAATACTAACCTTTGAAGTAGGGTCCACCTAATTTATCGAAATACTGTTGCAGCACTACTTTAGAAACCAGCGATTCGCCTTCATACGGAGCTCCCAAACAGTCTCCCAATAAAGCTCCTAATAAACATCCTCTATATTTACTAGCCATCAAAATGTCCATCTTCATCTTTCGCTTCAAAACGATTTACAGTATATACAAACGAGTTTTCAAGATTATCACAATAGTAAGACGCACGGCCGGGCACGGCACACATAACATCTCCTTCAAAATTTGCACGGAGTACTCATGTTCACCTTGTACATCACCTACACCACACACACACATGGAGGGAACTCTCTCTCACATAGCCACCGGACGGACTCCGTCATTACTACCAACCACAATATGAAAATATATATCATAAAATATACGTATCAACATTAGGTGACAATTAAGATTTCAAACTAAATTCAATTCTTATTATAAATTTTAGAATATTTCACTTTTATGCATTCAAGTAACCATACATTGTCGTATAAATAACCATTTAATTGTGACGGAGTTGCAATCTTATTTTCACAGGAACAAATGAGTATATTTTTGACCAAAAATTACGCGGGAAGATGCCGAGAATGAAAGAGCGGTGAATTCAATGTCACGAAAGTGACTTCGCTTGTGTCTACCGACCACTCAGTTTTCAAAACCTTCACCAGTTCTGTACGGAAATGAATCAGTGACGAATCATGTGCAAATACCCAGCACACAAACATGGCCTTCGTAAAATGCAAACCACGAAAAGAGCAATATCTCCAAGTACAGACTTCCGAGACGAAATTTCCTGAATAGATTTCCTTCCCTTTGTTTAACATATGATACACCATGCTTCATCATATATCTCGTTTGCAGTGTTTTTAAAAAAAACTAAATGCCCCGAAAGGCGTTCTCACGGGTGTTTTAGATCCATCTTGCTTTCAAAGGTAAGAATACTCAAAAAAGTAGTAACTTGTTGCGTTATGCGTTAATTGTTTGTTTTGTTTTCCTCTCAATTATATTTTACTAGTATTGTGGCAACACATTTGATCACATAGTGTTACAACATAATGAAATGTTTATTTTATATCAATTATACACGTACATCCTAAAAATAACAACGCAGATTTATACAAAGATAAAAATTCACACATATTTCCACAATCATCATAAACGTTAAGGTATTAAGTAAACATTAATGGAATTACTGATTGTACAAGATTCGCGGATTATATTTAAGTAAGACGTACTTTCTCAATAAATATCAATTGATACTGTTTGTGCTTATTAGTAAAGACAGGATTTTTATGTAATTACGTATGTTTTGTCTCTCTACTTACCGTTCTCAAAACTGTAATCTTGGGAAATAGTCGCCGTCTTAATACATTATCCAATTTCTTCGTTACATATTTTTACATATTTAAAACTATATTATATATTTTGCTATTTTCAGAAAATATTTTTATTGTATAAGTTTTATTTTATGTTATACATATTTTTCATTAAGTATTTTGAAAAAATCAGAATTTTTCTTCGTTATTACCGACTGCTGTTGAATCGAGATGACATACGTTAAGACGCGGTAGGATTTCTTACTGTCCAGCGCGGCTACTTCAGTTATCTCAGTGGCGGAAAGTGCACGTCAGCGACTGAGTTCATTTTCACCTTTAGGTGTGAAAAGTATGATTGATGTCGGTTTCGTGATCTTTAACCTTAATTTCCGAGAAACTATGGTGATCGTCGACGTTTAATACTTCAAAGAGAATGCTGCACGCTGCAGTCATTATTTGCTGGTATTATGCATGGTGAAAATACAGTAATAGGTATTGGTTGTTTGTAAGAGGGCTTCTATTGCGTCTACGAGTAGTCTAGCTGCTACCATTCTGGATAGCAACAAATTAAGTTTTAAATATTGACGGGAAAGTTGTATGCAGCAAAATTTGCATCATACTTCAATCATCTTCGAATGATTTTTAAAACGTTTGTATAATTTTTATGTTTCGTTTAGAACATTTTTGATACAGATAATTTTGTATTCAGTAAATGTGTTTTATAATTATTATATTTTAATATTACATATATCAGATGTTACACATTTACTACATATTCTCACTATTTTCATTACATATTTATGTACATATTTTGACGTTTCATACGACATATTTTTCCGATATCTACTTATTAGGTCTGGGAATTCCACCTTTCAATTGGAATTCCAATGATTTAATCAATCACTTCCTTTTCTTCATCGTGGTTTTCTATTTTTTAAATCCAAAAGAATTGTTCACAAACGTTTAGTCAGTTTGTGATTAACTGCAATAACTATAATAAATTACATCAGTTGTAGTTCAGTAAACGTTAACCAAAAAGTAATGACTTATTAGAGAAAAAAGGTTCACTCTCGAAATTATGTACAACTGGCGGAACCCGGCAGACGTTGTTCTGCCCTTCATCTCCCTCTTTCTCCTTCACTCTCTGCCTTTCCCTCTTTCTATCTCTCCCCCTCTCTTCGTCTCTCCCCTCTCTTTGTCCCCCCTTTCTTCGTTTCCCCCTCTCTTTGTCTCTCACTCTCTCTTCGTCTCTCCCTCTCTCTCCGTCTCTGCCTCCCGCAATACACGACAAGATTATTTTACTATATATTGTTAAATAGCTACCAAACGAAGCGTTCTAGGGCATTAAAAACTAAAATTTCGAGGCCAAAGGACTCAAACGTTTGTTACATCATAATGCATGATGAGATCTATTTCAACATTCTATTATATTTTTGCTGGTCCGGCGCATCTCGATATTGACCCACTTGCTCAAAGACATGTAGAATTTGCAACTAAATGTGTATGAGAGGTACAGAGAGAGACAGAAACAGGCCTAGAGACACAGAAAGTAAGAGCGAGAGAGAGGAAGAGTTAGAGGGGGAGAGAGATTCGACGAGAGGGTACGGTACAGCGAGAGGGCAAGTACGAGAGAGGGAGAGACGGAGGGAAGAAGAGAGAGGAGGAGACGAAGAAAGGGGAGAGACCAAGATGAAGGGGAGAGATAAAAAGAGGGAGAAACAAGGAGGGAAGGAGAAATAGGGAGATAAGGGGAGAACAACGACTAACGTGTTCCGCTAGAATCACAATAATACATACCTTGATTATCAGTATTCTTTTTCATATTTATTCAAATCATTTATTTTTTGACATTTTCACATCTCTTACAGTGTATTAATTTCAGTTGGAATACTAGGAGTCTAGAAATCCTAGAAATGTGAAATAATAGATGTTTCGATGAAATACAAAAGGTATTTTCGAAATCAGGTTTACAAGAACGAAAACTGCATAGTTTTTTTTGAATTAATGTATTTGCTTACTGGTGTTCAACCTTTTCCAAAGGAACTGAATTTAATAGATACTAAGTCATTCATTTTTGGGGGTACTTTAATGAAGCCCCTGGGGCATTTTCAATATTTTCTCAAAAATGGCTCCAATTTTTTTAAATTTCCTATAAGAATAGAGTAAAATACATTTATAAATGTGGTAGAGATTCAATTTTCACGGTTAACTCTAAATTTTAAAAAAATCCAGAAGTTTGAATTGTTTTTCGGGGTCTTCCTACAAAATCAACATTAAAGACAGATATTTTTTCTTCAATTAAAAATTGTTGTCCATAGTTTGTTCTTTCTATTAGGTCTTGTACATTTTTTGAAAATTTTAGTAGTTTTCGCGCAATATTCCGAGCAATATGCGCAACTTAAAAAAATTACAAAGGCAATATTTTCTCAAAAACGGTTCCTAATTATTTCTCTAAACATTTGGTAGGATTGTGCTAAATTCACTCTATAAGATGACATAAACGCCATATTACTCTATTTTTTTTTTTTTTTTGATTTTTCAAATATTACAAAAATATTTTTTTACTTGTCTCTCACATCATTAATATTTACACTAGCGGTAATTTGTTCACATTATTATATTTATGAGTACATGTGATTTAAACAATGCCAGATAAAGTTCATTTTTTATGAAAACTAGCTCAAACTTCCGCATTTCAGAAACGCCCAAACGCCATTTTTTCAAAAACGACTCCAAATATTTATTCAAACTTTTCAAAGGGATAGTGCTAATTGCACTCTTTAATATGAGGTAAAGTTCATTTTGGTGTATGTTTTGTTTTTTCAAAAATCATACAAATATATTTTTTTAAATGTGTCTGTCACTGTTAATTTGCATATTTCCAACAATTTGTAAAAACAATTGTATATATGAGTTAAAGTGCTTAAAATGACTTCAAGTAATGTTTTTTGGAAAACTCAATTGCTTCAAATTTGGAATTTAGTGTATTGTTAAAGCGTCATTTTCTTAAAAATGGCTTCAAATTTTTCAAAGAAAACTGCCATTTAGGACGATGTTTTACTGTTCTTTAATATTCTTAAAGTAATATTTACATTATACTATAGGGAAACTAAACAAAAATGAAGATAATTTCAAAACAAATGTACTTTGGGCGGCGATAGATGGCAGCAGACAAGAGTATGTGGCAAGTTCGAATGGCTAGCCGAGACCATAGGAAATAGAAAACTAATACGGGAAAGTCCGTACCATTTTGAAGCACCACTATTTGTATGTACACGAAAGCTTCCGCGGCTCGAATTCATAAATTCTCGGCTATCCGGGAGACGCCGCGTCGTTGCCCTGAGGAAGCCTGCGACATGTCTGGCGAAACGTCGGCATTCCAGCCAACGACGCGGCGTCTCCCGGATAGCTGAGAATGTACCACTATTTATATTCTAAGTTTTGCTGCTACATGAACTTCCATCGTTAGTGGTGTTACGTCGTTGTCTCTTTTGATTTCCAAGCAACATTCGTCTGGTTTTGGTTTAAAGATTAGTCTCACTATTCTGTTGTATAGGCTTGTTAGTCTGAGATACATGGTCTGGAATGTTGCCCGGATCTCGCTTGAGTAGGTTTGATGTACGTGTTGTAGATATGACCTCTTTAGGTTAGTATTGACATCATGTCAATGAGTATGAATAAAAAGCGGAATGAATCAACAACACTTGTTCCGTGTATATTTACCAGATCCCAACGTGGCTGGGAAGTGATTTGCTAAAACCACAACAGTGGGGTTGGAACTTCAATAACAATGTTTACCAATGTTAACATTTTTAATATATTAAAAATTATAATACATAACTTTTTAATTGTATGACTCCTTATCGACTAGACCTGTTGAGGACAGCTTGTAAAAAAACGTGCTTTGAATCTTACCTCAATGGTAGTGTGGAAACTGATACAGCTAGATGGAACGCCTTGTACGGAAACTACGCCGCCTGATTATGTTAAAACGGTTTGTTGCTCTTGAAAAATTAATAGAACCATTTTTGTACATACTTACATAAACTTCCTTCCTTGTAATCACCTC